TGATATACTCCAGGGAACTCGATGCTCCAAATAATTACTTACTGTTAATCAATGTCTCAAAGTTAGTAGCCTTTCATAAACTGCCTTTCACAGATCGTTGGTGTGAAACACATTTTTAGTGTAAATCTACAAAGAAGAACATAAAATAACACAAGCACTGTGACTGTCCTATCCTTGCTCTTTTTTTTGTTACTGATGAGAGATATTGTGGACTGATGAACAGCCTAGTTTCAAGGTATCAGCTTCACAGTTTAAAAAGAAGGTGGTATGAATCTGAGAAATGCTGTTTTGATAATGTGATTTAAACACTCTTTTGAAAGACATAAAGGTAATACATAATCAGTCCTGTAACATCATCCCCTTATCTTCCTGTCTGTCCTGAGCAAAATTACTTTTCTACCTCTTTCTCATGTCCTTCTTGCACAAGGACTTCCTTAGTCCCACAACAGAGATACAGTGAATGCATATAGGAGCTTGGGAGGTGAAATGGGGTCTCCTCACATGTGAAGCAGTAGAACTCTCATTTGATAAAATGCAGAAAAACTTTTCTTACTACTGTTAGTATTTAGCTGGTTCCCCAATCCCAAATTCATTTGAGACATATTGGTAATGAGCCACAGATATAAAATTCACTCACCCCTGAAATAACCCCCAGAACTTTAACTGTAGCATAACAGTCTTTGGGTCTCTATTAAAAATACCTGGACCTGAAGTTAGACAGCAGTAATGTCATCTGTACATCTGTCCTCACCAGGTAGCTTAGACTGTTAATGATCAAAATCATGCTGTGCACCAGGCTGCTCAGTAAAATCCTGGCAAGTCTCTCTATGGCCATGCATGAGCTGCCTGAGATCCTGTTTCTAAAGCCTCTGAATTCCTTTTAAATTCCAAACAAGACAAAGTTGGTTCGTGAACAAGAAGCAAACCAAAATAAGCTCACGAGGCCTTACATTAGCAAAAAAAACCCTTCTAAGAGCTAGTAATGGCTTACATTTCTGGTCTAGAAGAAGTTTCTCAACACACTTAGAAATTATGGAAAGCTTTTCAGTAATCACAGACTCACAGCGATGTGGCATGGCCCCAACAAATTTGAAGATCACAATATACTCAAAATTTCCCGGGCAGAATCCTCTTTGCAGACAAGCATCTGCATGATTCAAACATGACATTAGAGTAAGAGGTGAAAATACAGGACTTAGTAGGAAAAGGTGGTGCTCTTCTCAAGGAAAACAGATTAGGGCTCAGTGCAGAAAAAGGAAAACTGTGCTCCTAAGGTTATGTGAAGATTATATCTTAAAGCAAAGAACAGAAGATGCATTTATCATCTGTGAGTATTTGTTGTTATTTCTTCAAGTCAAAAGCATGTGCTCAATTCAAGCTCTGACAGTAACGTATACTGGTACTCTATTCTTCACTCAAAGAAAAATACAATAGTTCTTTGCAGTTTTAGTTTCAACTACTCCCCCACCCCACCCCAAAATCTGAAAGTCATTTAATTTTGAAGCACACAGACTTTATTATTTTTTTTAAAAGTAGCATTTTGACTTAAGGTGAGATGACACTCTAGATCATCGCATGTAGTACTGTTCCATTATGCTGCATTCTCAGTGTTTAAAACACAGTGGTTGTTTTTTTTTCTCATGTCCTATATACCAAACATGTACTGGAAAAAAACCCTAAATGAGATGCTACAGTAAGTTAGAACCTGTTAACATTAGTGCAAGCGCAACAAAACTAACTGCAGTTACGATGGAGTTGTTCACAGGTGGACCAATGTCCCCTTTTCTGGAGAAACTCCACACATGATACATATAATTTCTCTAATACTGGAAAAATAATACACGTTAACCTACTTATCCTGCCTATCTTAACCTAAGTTTCCTTAAATCAGTGTTAGTAATAACTAGAAGACAACAGTTAAAACCTGTCAGTTCCCTAGTCAGTTTCCTGCTTGTAATGACAGCATTTTTAGGATTAGCTTCCAGTTTATAGGCTCAGTGTGCTGGAGCACAACACTAATGAACCAAGCCTCCCATAACAGTTCAGGTACATAAGCTGTAAGGAGCACTTCAAAATGCAATCACAGCTGGAAATATTAGTTTAAAAATACATTAGGTACAGATCTGCCACATGGTTTTCAATTTTATTAATGGTGAGCAACTACTGCAGACAGTAAGCAACTATGTACAGAAAGTGCACAAAACCTCAGTCAAAACCTAGAAAATACAGGTTCTATTCTTCAACAGCTGTAACTAAGCTCCAACAATGTAAAGCCTAGTTAAACTTGCATGGCAATATTCATTACAATTTTTACAATAGAATTTATCACCTGTTGATAGCAATCGTGCCAGCTGCAGTAATATTAAAATGGATTAAAGATATTTCATCAGAGATGCACAAAGAACTGTTCACCTACTCCTTGTGTTACAGTAACATGGTAAGCCTATTTCTATAAATTAGGAAAGGAGAAGTCTTGCGTATGTGGCTGGTGACCATTACCAGCTCACTCATATATCTGATTTGCTTCCTAGCTAATGTAATATAGCAATATTGACAGCTAAATTGTAAGAACTCAAGTTAGAGTGCCATTTGCTAAACACTTAGGGCAACTTTATTGTACTTGACTGAAATCTATGCACACTCTTTTTAAATAGAAAAGTATGCTTATCTTACTCTGAAAAATATATGGGGAAACACAGTAATGGAACATAAAACCTCAGTGGGTCAAAGGAATTAAACAAATATCTTGACTACATGTCCACTATGAAAAACTAATATTCAGCATTCCACAGTGAATTAAAAGCAGACTGACTTTTATCAATGAAAACAAACCTATTCTGAAAATGAAAACAGCCACAGGATGTTTCTCTTCAAGTGTTTCGAAACTCAAGTTAATGAAAAGGTAAACAGTATGGTCTGCATTTCAAGTGACCTACAGAATACTGCTAGGGATAGATAATCAATGATTTATTTTTATTTTTATTTTTATTTTTATTTTTATTTTTATTTTTATTAACTAACTGTGGGAAAATAAGAAATAACACACTGGAAAATTATTTTTTGTTAAAGCACAAGAGGGATGCCTTCTTTAGTTGAGGATATGCTACGGCTGACAAATAGCAACCAAAAAAGTTATGATGGCTTAGCCACCACCTGTGAACAGTACTGTAATAATTAACCATACATGTTCTACTGCATTGAGGTTAAAAACCTTCTATGGGTTTAAAAAAGCATCAGCACCCATCCATAAAGTTGCTTTGAAACATGAGACCTGTTCATTACAAGGTGTGAGACTGACTTTTGTACCACTGAAAAACAAGATCAGCACCAGAAAGAAGCAGATATAACAACAGTTCTAGAAACCAAAACAATTCCATGAAGATACCCATATTATCTGTTTCCAAGGATTACAGTCAAATGAAAGCCTATTTTAAGTATATATGGAAAGCATACAGTCAACCATGAGTATGAATACATCAAAAACAAAGGAACAAAATAAACTAGTAAGATTAGTAATATTCCTTCTGTATTCTTGGCAATAAAATTGTTCTCTTAGAAAATAAAATTTCAACTGTAAAGTCCTTTAAAACAACAGCATCAGTTATTTAATTTTGGTGCTTCTATACTTTATGCAACCAGCATAAGCCTGATGCATTTGAACTGCTGGCAGAAGAATCTCCTACAGGAAGTGACAAAATGTCTTACCATTTCAATTTAGCCTGGCTCTTCAAGCATGAAATCCCTCTCCGTGTGTCCTCACACATCCAGAATCTTCACTTCTGCACTATTTCTAACATTACAGTAACCAGTTTCTGACTAGCTCACCTACAGACTGGAAAACTGTGGTCAAATAAATTTAAAAGAATGTTGCTTTTTAGCTCCATGTCAGTATATCTGTGACCTTTTCTTACTCTCTTCTATCATTAAAGAGAAAGAAAAGCATTAAGATGCTGTCATCCCAACACTGCTCCAAAAATACCAAATTCCTATGATATTTTCCTATTAAGTTGATTTTGTTCACATGAAGCATGGAAATCCTGCTATGCAATATGCTAATGGGTGAATTACGTCACACATTACTGTGCTTTGCAACAGCATAGTTATATTAGAAGCTAATGATGTCCTTATAGAAGGAAATGACCCAATTCTACATTAAAACTTAGCCTGCAGACTACAAAAATTACAGGTTTCAGACCCCTTCAGTGGAATACCTACATGAAATTTAGGATAACGTGGAGGTAAATATACAATTTAATGTATTGGTATTTTTGATTCAGAATTGCTTTCTGGCATCACTTCTGCAGCACATCCCTTAAAACAGTACTTATTGCTGCTCTTCTTCACTCTTCTTTCAGAGTGTACTGTCTGCTCTCAACCTCAACTGCTTACTTTAACAAGCATCTTCTCACTTGTACATCTTCATGTCATCTCTTACAGATATCACTAGCCAGACAATATTTAATAATGTATGATCAGTGAACTTCAGGAGACACACTGCACTGAAATTAATAAGCCACAGGGGTGTTAAAATTCCACCTTTATTCCAGGTTATTGTTTGTCATGTTTTGTTCACATGTGGAAACTTCTCTGCATCTAAAAGTATTAGAGCCTTTTTCCAACTGTTGTTGAAAGCTTAGACCATTTACAATAACTGAACCATGTATATGTACTATATAAACAAAACAAATAAACAAATCTATTTATAAAGACTCAAAACCCACTACTGTGTTTCCTGGTATTCTATTCCAGTTACTAGGGATTAGCCCATCAACCTAGACAACCATTCACTTGTACTAAACAGATGTATTAACTTTTGTAGATACGCCCTAGTGGATAAATTTCCTTAGAAAAGCAAGTAAGGTCTACAATGAAGATGCAGTATAACATACAGAACACACTGTGCAAATGCACGTAATCCCACCCATACATGCACCCTTCCAAAGGAGTGTTCTCACAGCTACAGAAGCAGGGATAAGAAAACAAAAACCAACAAGCCTTACCTTTCTGCAGACACTTTCGAAATTAATTTCTGTCCTAAGAGCAAGTCTGGTAACTTCATCTGGCTTTATTTCCTGTGGACAAAAGATGCATTTATTCTTCTTATGATCAGACTTTAGAAAATCTTTCTAAGGTTTACCTCCCTCATAAATATTCTAACTTCATAGCATCTCCCACTGATCTCTTAAGGGAATAAAATAGTTTGTTGACTGATTTTTTTTTTTTTTTGTGTATGTAAATGTTTTTTGTGTGTATCAGTTTGTTGATGATTTTTTTATGTGTATGTAAATACTACATTTCTGTGTATGTAAATACTATGTTTACTGACTTCCGAAACATCATTTACACTTAAACTGCCTGTATCTACTACTACTGAGGGCTATAGAGATTTTCAACAGCAAAGTATGCAGAATGGTCATTTTATTTACAGAAGTGTTTAAATTGCCTGTATTGTTGTCCTATAAATATACTTTGGAAGGTTTGAAGTGAAACATCTTAGACTCTGAAGTTACATCTGAACTTATCCACATATGTGATAAGTTTAAGACAACTAAAATGAAGTTCAGAAGAAAAATCAAAATTCTCTTTTCTGAAGACACTCACTATACATGCAATTTTCATTCCTGGACTTAAGCATTTCCACTGGCAGCTGAAACAGAGGAAAGAAAATATTGGACAAGTGGATTTTGTTAAAAGTTGAATACTTTATGAAACATTTCCCCATGACAGATTTCTCGTTATTTTAAAATATATATTTTATATATGTTGTATTACAAAATGTCCTATTAACTTTATCAATTGAACGCACTAAATATTGGCTTTTTCCTCCTCCTATGTCAAAGAAATCATGTTACATACCAGTTGTTTGCCAGATGGCCATTTTAAAAGCAGTTTAACTACTGTTACGCAGAGCCTTAATAACTTCCACACATTCATAGTTCCAAACCCATAGAAACTTTGTAGAAAAAACCCTAGTTATCTGGATAGCTTTCATCCAGACCTAGCCTTTATCACAATGCTGGTAGCTTTGACACCTGATCTGTTTGCTGAATTTCTAAAACCCGAGGAAATCAGATGACTTCAACATAAAATACACTAATTTTGTAACACTTGTGGTCAATAAAGAAGATGAAAACCTAAATCTGAAATGCCCATACAAAGTATTGTAGTTTGAGAAAATGCAACATGTCCAGGTGCTTGGACTGCACCTGTAGTTAACGTTATGCTTAGATATGGACAAGACAGGCACTAACTGAAAACCCTTAAAAGTAATTACTGTAACTACTGGCTCAGAATAATTATTAGCAAAGATTCAAATCTAAATCAAATTGTGAGAGACTTGATAATTTAGAAATTACTAGGAAAAAAATGTACTATATAAAGGGGAAGGACTTTCATGTTTAACAACTAAATTATACTTTTTCCTTTCACTCTTCTTCCTTACTTAATCATCCTTGATAAGTATTCCAACACTTCAATTTAACATCCTGCTCCACTGTTAAGTTTCCTCAGTCTATACAGTTGCTGTCCTAAATCTGGGGCAGTCTGTGCACTTCCTTAAATATAAGTTCAGGAAGAATCAAGTAGCTTTATTATAGAAGTTCATACCTTGCATTTCAAAATCTTATGTTGTCCTTCTTTCTATATATTAGAAAACTTACAGAGAGTATGCATCTTCTCTAGATCTTTAAGGTGTTGCATAAATTGCATGTGTTAAAACTACAAGCAAGCATATAATAATGGAATATAAACAGAACAAAGTTAAACTGAAAAAAAAAAAAAAGTCTCTTATTGTGAATGTCAGAAGAGCTTCCTGACAATGAGGTGTAGAAGTCTGCAATATCATCTCCCAAAGGTACTGGTGGAAGCTCAATCACTTGGGAGACAGAATCCAGACTGGAAAAACACTGGTGGATGTAGGAAACAATCTTCTACTGGCAGATAGACAGTTGGATGACCTAACGGAATCTAGAGATGGAAAAGACCTATGATTCAGTTTTCCAAAGCATTTCACAGATGGTGAAAGTAGGACACGGTGGTTAAGTGACATGCTTACTGTCACATAGTTGGTTGGGGGCTATGAATGAAGCTCTGGAATCCCATACTATTCATTAAATCAAGCTGTTTCTTTATTCAAAAAAATTTATGTGATCTTCATCCCAGATAAAAATGCCAATTTCCTGTCTCTTTAGGATTTAAATACAGCAACCTGGTTCAGAGAGGAGGCAGGTAAACTTCAGCAATCCCTACGCTAGAATGTCAAATGTTTAATTTTTGTATTACAATATTGCTGAATTCCCTTAACATTGCAGAATCATGCAAAATAAAGGAGAAGGAATTACAGTTTGGAACGTGAAGTCACGAAAGGAACTTCACTGAAATTCTTAGAATACAAAATGAGCTCAAGAACCTCCTGTTAATGCTTAAACACCAAAATTTATAAAGTATCTCCTTCACTTCCCTTAGAGTTAAGGCAAAACTAGCATTTTTGACTTACAGTCACAGCAGCACCCTAGTTTTGTAAAAGCAGACATATAAATCAGGTTATTGGAATACATAGACCTTTTTTTCCGTGTCTATTCATGTTCAGTGGCAGACAAGAAAATAGTAAAAGGATATAGTGATATTTTTTTCAGCAGAGCTTTCTCAACTTTGAGAGGCACATAGCTCAAGAACTCATGACTTAAAAAGGGGGCCTCTGTATTGAGTATCTATTATGAAATCTTTTTTCACCAGTTGTGTTAGAGGATATTAAGGGATGTCCACTTGAGCAACCTGATCTAGTAGAAGGTGTCCCTGCCCATGGCAGGGAGGTTTGAATTAGATGATCTTTAAGGTCCCTTCCAACCCAAACCATTCTATGATGTTATAAGTGTTATAAGTGTTACAAGTGGCTGCTGCCTCCACCATCTCTGGGATCAGTCCAGGGATTCCTCCTGCACTGTTGCTGGAGCCCAGCCCAGTGCATCCTCCAGGTCTACAGATGTGCAGTTGCTTTCTCATTGTCATATTCAACCAGTAGTGAATGTGACAACTAGCTGCCACAGACAAGGTGCTGCCTTCAACAGCACCCACATATAACACTCCCAAGACTCACATGAACTTAAGTATAACCATCCAAGATGTCTTACTCCTTTTCATCTGTCCAGGATTAAAACTTAATATTAAAGAGTATGCTCCTTCCCACCCTCCTCTAGATTCATGAGCACATCCATATTCATCCATCCCTCAAATATCAGCACAGCATATCCCTCCGTCCACCTAATAATAGGCCTCTGCCTGGGTCCAGAGCCCTTTCATTCAACTCATGGGCCTCCTTACTTGCATGCACTCATACTCCAGTCTTACAAGTACTCTAGTCTCACAGGCAACCTGCGCTCACAGGTCCCTCCCAAACACCAGCACGGGCCCTCTACCCACCTGATACTCCCACCTGGACCCAGCATCTTCCATTCACTGCTAGTCTAACTTAAGAGATTGGTAGTGAATTACACATGCCAAAGACACACATGCACAGGGTCAAACCATGTGAAAATACACTCTGCCCCCATCAGCAGCAGGCACCAGGCACCAGGGCTACAATCTGCAGTCCCAGTCCAGATGCTAAGAGCCTTACTTGCTTTACTTGCCCCAGCCTCACCTGTAGCCATGCCCAGGACACACACTGTCCCTGTACTCTCAACTGGGACATGTGCTGCTCCTGCCCCTGTGGCTGGAGCTGAGATCCTCACTCACTCCTACTGCTGAAACCAGAGGCTCAGGACACCTACACCGCTGGTCTGACTCTTGTTGCTGGCCCTATATCCACTCATGCTGGTCCCCTCAGTATCTGGAACCTAGTCCTTAGAACACTCACACCCACAGGATAAAGACCGATATTACAAAGAAAGTTAAGAAAAAAAATTATAAAAAGATGAAAAACTGGGCCAATCAGACAGAGGGCTTGGTCAGATAAGTGTATTAACTAGTACTGGTTGGGACTGGCCCCTCCAATACCCGCTCCCACCTATGCCTTCCTAAACACTGTTTACTAAGTTTTGCATAGTCCACTGGTCCCCCCATATACTCATGTTCATCTTGTTTCCCCTTCTTATCAGATACAAAGTCCAGGCTGGCCTTCCCCAAAGCAATACCAGTAGTTTTTTAATGGCCCATTACTTAGTGACTGGAGACTTTTTGTCAATGTCTCTGTTGGCCCTTGTCCACCAGCTATGTTCCTCTCTGTGTTTTTATTCATCCCATCACCCCACACTTATTATCGCCTTATCATTGAAAAGGTCCACTACTGGAGACTCATATGAAGAATGCTCATCACCATCCATGTGCCCTCACAGATTATGGCTGCTTTCTGAAATAATGTTAATACCTGGTTTCATAACCAGAGTTTGGGACTGGTGTACCAGAATGACCCTCACTCTGCTATCTAAGTGGAGGAAAGGGATGGAGACATGCAGCACACCAAAGATGTAAGGGATATCGATGGATCAGTAACTGTGGTAACATTTGTGAAAGCTCAGGTTAGAGTCAGGACCTCTAAATGCAAAAAGGTGCTAGGGCCATCAGCCCATCTGAAGTGCATGTATACCAATGCACACAGCATGGGTAACAAACAGGAGGAGCTTGAAGGCATGATGAAACAGGAAAATTATGATGTAGTGGCTATTACAGAAACATGGTGGGATGTCTCCCATGACTGGAGTGTGCCAGCTGATGGCCACAAGCTCTTTAGAAGGGACAGACAAGGAAGGAGAGGCAGTGGGGTGGTGCTGTATGTTAGGGGCTGTTATGTTTGCTTTGAGTACAAGTGTGGTGAAGACAGGGTGGAGTGTCTTTGTGTTAGAATCAGAGGGAAGGCCAACAGGGCAGATATCAACAGTGGGAGTCTACTATAGGCCACCCACCCAGGACAGAGAGGTGGATGAAATACTCTATAGGCATTTAGGAGAAATCCCTCAATCACTTGCCCTTGTTCTTGTGGGAGGCTTTAACTTCCCAGACATCTGATGGAAATACAACACAGCAGAGCAAGACCAGTCCCAGAGATTCCTGGAATGTGTGGCAGGTAACTTCCTGA